CTCATCTTGGGCCACCAGCTGTGGGAGTGGGGCGTCTCATCTTGGGCCACCAGCTGTGGGAGTGGGGACGTCTCATCTTGGGCCACTAGCTGTGGGAGCGGGGCGTCTCATCTTGGGCCACCAGCTGTGGGAGTGGGGCGTCTCATCTTGGGCCACCAGCTGTGGGAGTGGGGCGTCTCATCTTGGGCCACCAGCTGTGGGAGTGGGGCGTCTCATCTTGGGCCACCAGCTTGAGCTGTGAGGAAGGGAGAATTACCCCACAATGGCCACGTTTTGCTCAACTTAATTCCCGGTTCCCTGCAGTAGTTTGATGGTGAGGTAGAGTAGTTAACGAAGTTAATTGGCAGTTGTGTCTAATCACCAAGGAGGACACTGTGTCCTATAACCCCATATGTGTCTTAAGTGCTGACTCATATGTTTCCATATATGTGTGTCTACAGTTATGACTCATGAATGACTTATGACTCATATGTGAGTGTGTGTTTATGTTTGACTCACGTATGATACATGTTGGTCTTAGTCTGTGAGCTTAGTCTGTGAGCTTAGTCTGTGAGCCTTAGTCTGTGAGCTTAGTCTGTGAGCTTAGTCTGTGAGCTTAGTCTGTGAGCCTTAGTCTGTGAGCTTAGTCTGTGAGCTTAGTCTGTGAGCTTAGTCTGTGAGCTTAGTCTGTGAGCTTAGTTTGTGAGCCTTAGTCTGTGAGCTTAGTCTGTGAGCTTAGTCTGTGAGCCTTAGTCTGTGAGCTTAGTCTGTGAGCCTTAGTCTGTGAGCTTAGTCTGTGAGCTTAGTCTGTGAGCTCAGTCTATGAGCTTAATCTGTGAGCTCAGTCTATGAGCTTAGTCTTTGAGCTTAGTCTGTGAGCCTTAGTCTGTGAGCTAAGTCTGTGAGCTCAGTCTATGAGCTTAGTCTGTGAGCTTAGTCTTTGAGCCTTAGTCTGTGAGCTCAGTCTGTGAGCCTTAGTCTGTGAGCCTTAGTCTGTGAGCTTAGTCTGTGAGCTTAGTCTGTGAGCTTAGTCTGTGAGCTTAGTCTTTGAGCTTAGTCTATGAGCTTAGTCTGTGAGCCTTAGTCTGTGAGCTTAGTCTGTGAGCTTAGTCTGTGAGCTTAATCTGTGAGCCTTAGTCTGTGAGCTTAGTCTGTGAGCTTAGTCTGTGAGCTTAGTCTGTGAGCTTAGTCTGTGAGCCTTAGTCTGTGAGCTTAGTCTGTGAGCTTAGTCTGTGAGCCTTAGTCTGTGAGCTTAGTCTGTGAGCTTAGTCTGTGAGCTTAGTCTGTGAGCTTAGTCTGTGAGCTTATAGTCTGTGAGCTTAGTCTGTGAGCCTTAGTCTGTGAGCTTAGTCTGTGAGCTTATAGTCTGTGAGCTTAGTCTGTGAGCCTTAGTCTGTGAGCTTAGTCTGTGAGCTTAGTCTGTGAGCTTATAGTCTGTGAGCTTAGTCTGTGAGCTTAGTCTGTGAGCCTTAGTCTGTGGGCTTAGTCTGTGAGCTTAGTCTGTGAGCTTAGTCTGTGAGCTTAGTCTGTGAGCCTTAGTCTGTGAGCTTAATCTGTGAGCCTTAGTCTGTGAGCTTAGTCTGTGAGCTTAGTCTGTGAGCTTAGTCTGTGAGCTTAGTCTGTGAGCTTTAGTCTGTGAGCTTAGTCTGTGAGCTTAGTCTGTGAGCTTAGTCTGTGAGCTTAGTCTGTGAGCCTTAGTCTGTGAGCCTTAGTCTGTGAGCTTAGTCTGTGAGCTTAGTCTGTGAGCCTTAGTCTGTGAGCTTAGTCTGCGAGCTTAGTCTGTGAGCTTAGTCTGTGAGCTTAGTCGGTGAGCTCAGTCTGTGAGCTTAGTCTGTGAGCTTAGTCTGTAAGCTTAGTCTATGAGCCTTAGTCTGTGAGCTTAGTCTGTGAGCTTAGTCTGTGAGCCTTAGTCTGTGAGCTTAGTCTGTGAGCTTAGTCTGTGAGCTTAGTCTGTGAGCTTAGTCTGTGAGCCTTAGTCTGTGAGCTTAGTCTGTGAGCTTAGTCTGTGAGCTTAGTCTGTGAGCTTAGTCTGTGAGCCTTAGTCTGTGAGCTTAGTCTGTGAGCTTAGTCAGTGAGCTTAGTCTGTGAGCTTAGTCTGTGAGCCTTAGTCTGTGAGCTTAGTCTGTGAGCTTAGTCTGTGAGCTTAGTCTGTGAGCTTAGTCTGTGAGCTTAGTCTGTGAGCTTAGTCTGTGAGCTTAGTCTGTGAGCTTAGTCTGTGAGCTTAGTCTGTGGGCTTAGTCTGTGAGCTTATAGTCTGTGAGCTTAGTATGTGAGCTTAGTATGTGAGTTTATTATATAATCAAGTTTGTGTCCCATGCCCCTGAAACCTATACCATGCCCTTAAAACCTATACCATGCCCTTAAAACCTATACCATGCCCTTGAAACCTATACCATGCCCTGAAACCTATACCATGCCCTTGAAACCTATACCATGCCCCTGAAACCTATACCATGCCCTTGAAACCTATACCATGCCCCTGAAACCTATACCATGCCCCTGAAACCTATACCATGCCCCTGAAACCTATACCATGAAACCTATACCATGCCCCTGAAACCTATACCATGCCCTTGAAACCTATACCATGCCCCTGAAACCTATACCTATACCATGCCCCTGAAACCTATACCATGCTATACCATGCCCCTGAAACCTATACCATGCCCCTGAAACCTATACCATGCCCTTGAAACCTATACCATGCCCCTGAAACCTATACCATGCCCCTGAAACCTATACCATGCCCTTGAAACCTATACCATGCCCCTGAAACCTATACCATGCCCTTGAAACCTATACCATGCCCTTGAAACCTATACCATGCCCCTGAAACCTATACCATGCCCCTGAAACCTATACCATGCCCTTGAAACCTATACCATGCCCCTGAAACCTATACCATGCCCTTGAAACCTATACCATGCCCTTGAAACCTATACCATGCCCCTGAAACCTATACCATGCCCTTGAAACCTATACCATGCCCCTGAAACCTATACCATGCCCTTGAAACCTATACCATGCCCCTGAAACCTATACCATGCCCTTGAAACCTATACCATGCCCTTGAAACCTATAACATGCCCTTGAAACCTATACCATGCCCCTGAAACCTATACCATGCCCTTGAAACCTATACCCATGCCCTTGAAACCTATACCATGCCCTTGAAACCTATAGCATGCCCTTGAAACCTATACCATGCCCCTGAAACCTATACCATGCCCTTGAAACCTATACCATGCCCCTGAAACCTATACCATGCCCTTGAAACCTATACCATGCCCTTGAAACCTATACCATGCCCTTGAAACCTATACCATGCCCTTGAAACCTATACCATGCCCCTGAAACCTATACCATGCCCTTGAAACCTATACCATGCCCCTGAAACCTATACCATGCCCCTGAAACCTATACCATGCCCTTGAAACCTATACCATGCCCCTGAAACCTATACCATGCCCTTGAAACCTATACCATGCCCCTGAAACCTATACCATGCCCTTGAAACCTATACCATGCCCTTGAAACCTATACCATGCCCCTGAAACCTATACCCATGCCCCTGAAACCTATACCCATGCCCTTGAAACCTATACCATGCCCTTGAAACCTATACCATGCCCTTGAAACCTATACCATGCCCTTGAAACCTATACCATGCCCTTGAAACCTATACCATGCCCTTGAAACCTATACCATGCCCTTGAAACCTATACCATGCCCTTGAAACCTATACCATGCCCTTGAAACCTATACCATGCCCTTGAAACCTATACCATCCCCTGAAACCTATACCCATCCCCTGAAACCTATACCATGCCCTTGAAACCTATACCATGCCCCTGAAACCTATACCATGCCCTTGAAACCTATACCATGCCCCTGAAACCTATACCCATGCCCCTGAAACCTATACCATGCCCTTGAAACCTATACCATGCCCTTGAAACCTATACCATGCCCTTGAAACCTATACCCATGCCCCTGAAACCTATACCATGCCCTTGAAACCTATACCATGCCCTTGAAACCTATACCATGCCCTTGAAACCTATACCATGCCCTTGAAACCTATACCATGCCCCTGAAACCTATACCATGCCCTTGAAACCTATACCATGCCCTTGAAACCTATACCATGCCCCTGAAACCTATACCATGCCCCTGAAACCTATACCATGCCCCTGAAACCTATACCCATGCCCTTGAAACCTATACCATGCCCCTGAAACCTATACCATGCCCTTGAAACCTATACCATGCCCTTGAAACCTATACCATGCCCTTGAAACCTATACCATGCCCTTGAAACCTATACCATGCCCTTGAAACCTATACCATGCCCCTGAAACCTATACCATGCCCTTGAAACCTATACCATGCCCTTGAAACCTATACCATGCCCTTGAAACCTATACCATGCCCCTGAAACCTATACCATGCCCTTGAAACCTATACCATGCCCTTGAAACCTATACCATGCCCTTGAAACCTATACCATGCCCTTGAAACCTATACCATGCCCTTGAAACCTATACCATGCCCTTGAAACCTATACCATGCCCTTGAAACCTATACCATGCCCCTGAAACCTATACCCATGCCCCTGAAACCTATACCATGCCCTTGAAACCTATACCATGCCCCTGAAACCTATACCATGCCCTTGAAACCTATACCATGCCCTTGAAACCTATACCATGCCCCTGAAACCTATACCATGCCCTTGAAACCTATACCATGCCCTTGAAACCTATACCATGCCCCTGAAACCTATACCCATGCCCCTGAAACCTATACCCATGCCCCTGAAACCTATACCCATGCCCTTGAAACCTATACCATGCCCCTGAAACCTATACCATGCCCTTGAAACCTATACCATGCCATTTAGCTTATACCCATGCCCTTGAAACCTATACCATGCCCTCCAATACCCATGCCCTAAGGACGTCAACTAGGAACCATGACCCAGAAAGCAGTAACGAGAACCCTCTCCCTCTCTCCCTCAGGTCGACGGACACAGCCGGCGCGGCGGCTATAGGGCTCAACATCGCTGTGAAAGAGTGTCGTCGCCAGTTCGCTAACCACCGCTGGAACTGCACAGCGCTCAGCACCCCCACTAACAACCCCCACACCGCCCCCATTATGGCCAGAGGTAAGATGGGGGAGAGGGAGGGCAACCTTCCCTTACTCACTTACCTACACCACCACCCTCTCTCTCTCTCTCTCTCTCTCTCTCTCTCTCTCTCTCTCTCTCTCTCTCTCTCTCTCTCTCTCTCTCTCTCTCTCTCTCTCTCTCTCTCTCTCCAACCAATCAGGAGCCTCTATGTCAACACCAGTGACCCCACCAACAACCTCTCCACCACCACAACCACTATCATACGAACCTGAGAATCAAGATATCAGCAGAAGGTCTATTAGCCCCTACGAGGCAGCTATTATGTATATCCACACCCCCCAACTCATTCACATATATATATGTCTAACCTACGCTTGAAACAATCAAGATCTCCTACATCTATTATGATGCCCGAGTAATTGATTCCACAAATCAACAACCCAGTTACCGAACCAGTATTTACCCAGGTCTTTCCTAAATCTAAACTTATCCAATTTATATCCATTGTTTCGTGTTTTGTTTTGTGTTGGTAGTTTTATAGTTAATGATCTAACTTAATTACAGGATCATCATTCGTGTAGCACAATGCCTTCATTGGGACATTTTGTTCCCAAAATAGCTAAATAAGTATCTAAATAAATAGCTAAATAGCCTTCGTTCCGAGTAGTTAAATCTAAGACAATATCGACATTAAATTATTGTCTACATCTTGAGGTTATCTTGAGATGATTTCGGGGCTTTAGTGTCCCCGCGGCCCGGTCCTTGACCAGGCCTCCACCCCCCAGGAAGCCTGTAGCCCATAGCAGCTGTCTAACTCCCGGGTATAGCTTTTTACTGCTAGGTAACAAGAGGCATCAGAGTGAAAGAAATATTTTTCCCCTTTGGTCTCCACCGGGGATCGAACCCGGAATCTCAGGACTACGAATCCGAAGCGCTGTCCACCCAGCTGTCAGGCGCTACTTCACAACATATATATCTCTATTCACTCTGCAGGCGGTAGCTTAGATACTAGTTATCTCTAACAGCTCCGCCCGGAGCCCCTCGATGGGATCCATCGCATGTTGGAGGCGCGGCAAGGGGCGCGCGAGGTCTCCCCTGCCCCTGTAAACACGCCAGGGGTCGCTCTCAGGGGTCCAGGGTGTGAATTATCCCATTGTCCCTGCCAGAAATGGTCCCTGGTTCACGGTATGGTGGTGACCCCTAGTCATTGCTCACTCACAGGGGCTTCGCGGCTCAGTGGACAGCGCTCTGGGATCGTAGTTCTAAGGTTCGGGTTTGATCCGAGGCAGAGGGAGAAATACATGGGCAGAGTTTGTTTCAGCCTGATGTACCTGTTCACCTAGCAGTAAAGAAGTACCTGGGGGTTAGACAGCTGCTACGAGCTACTTCCTGGGGTAGTGTGTGTGTGTACTCACCTAGTTGTGCTTGCGGGGGGGGGGGTTGAGCTCTGGCTCTTTGGTCCCGCCTCTCAACCGTCAATCAACAGGTGTACAGGTTCCTGAGCCTATTGGGCTCTATCATATCTACACTTGAAACTGTGTATGGAGTCAGCCTCCACCACATCACTGCCTAATGCATTCCATCATGCGCTGGTTTGTGTTCGCTCCTGTTCTCGTCTGAATAAAAAAAAAAATAAAAAAAATAAAAAAAACACACACACACACACACAGATAGTGTGTGTAGATATGACAGAGCCCAATAGGCTCATGAATCTGTACACCTGTTGATTGACGGTTGAGAGGCGGGACCAAAGAGCCAGAGCTCAACCCCCGCAAACACAACTAGGTGAGTACAACTAGGTGAGTACACATACACACACACACACACACATACACAGACACACACACACATACACACACACACACACACACACACACGTCTGCGGCATATGCGAGGCTGGCTAACATCAGAACAGCGTTCAGGAACCTGTGTAAGGAATCATTCAGAATCTTGTACACCACATATGTAAGACCAATCCTGGAGTATGCGGCCCCAGCATGGAGCCCGTACCTTGTCAAGCACAAGACGAAGCTGGAAAAAGTCCAAAGGTATGCCACTAGACTAGTCCCAGAACTAAGAGGCATGAGTTACGAGGAAAGGCTGCGGGAAATGCACCTTACGACACTGGAAGACAGAAGAGTAAGGGGAGACATGATCACAACCTACAAAATCCTCAGAGGAATCGACCGGGTAAACAAGGATAAACTATTCAACACTGGTGGGACGCGAACAAGGGGACACAGGTGGAAACTGAGTACCCACATGAGCCACAGAGACGTTAGAAGGAACTTTTTCAGTGTCAGAGTAGTTAACGGATGGAATGCACTAGGCAGTGATGTGGTGGAGGCTAACTCCATACACAGTTTCAAGTGTAGATATGATAGAGCCCAATAGGCTCAGGAACCTGTACACCAGTTGATTGACAGTTGAGAGGCGGGACCAAAGAGCCAGAGCTCAACCCCCCGCAAACACAACTAGGTGAGTACACACACACACACACACACACACACACACACACACACACACACACACACACACACACACACACACACACACACACACACACACACACACTGCATTTTTCTAGGTTGCCCAAAAGCTTTTGACATCGTTCCTCACCAGCGACTCCTATGCCAACTGGACCAAACAAGCTGGTAAATCAGGAGAAATACTGAAGTTGGTGAAGGAGTACCTACCAGGAAGAACACAGAGACTCACACAAAGAGGAAGAGTTATCAAACAGGAGAGAGGTAAAGAGTGTTGAACTTTTACCTACTTACTAGTGGTCCACAGGCCTTATGACAGAGTATAACAGGTCTGAGCACAGAGGGAGAAACAGACAGACAGACAGACAGACAGGGTGAGTCAGAGAGAGACGAGTAGATATATATATATATATATGTATGTACGATGAGGTAAATGTCAGTACGGTTGTAGTCATGTATAATAAAGTACTGTATAATGTCACGGAGGCTGAGTGGACATCTGGCCACACACACACACACACACACACACACACACACACACACACACACACACACACACACACACACACACACACACACACACACACACACACCAGAGAATTTACAGGAAAGAGATGGTTGGGTTGACTGCATCTATCTGGACCTAAAAAAGGCTTTCGACAGAGTTCCACATAAGAGGTTGTTCTGGAAACAGGAAAATATTGGAGAGGTGACAGGTAAGCTTCTAACATGGATGAAAAATTTTCTGACTGATAGAAAAATGAGGGCAGTGATCAGAGGAAATGTATCGGACTGGAGAAATGTCACAAGTGGAGTACCACAGGGCTCAGTTCTTGCACCAGTGATGTTTATTGTGTACATAAATGAGCTACCAGTTGGTATACAGAATTATATGAACATGTTTGCTGATGATGCTAAGATTATAGGAAGGATAAGAAACTTAGATGACTGTCATGCCCTTCAAGATGACCTGGACAAAATAAGTATATGGAGCACCACTTGGCAAATGGAATTTAATGTTAATAAATGTCATGTTGTGGAATGTGGAATAGGAGAACATAGACCCCACACAACCTATATATTATGTGAGAAATCTTTAAAGAATTCTGATAAAGAAAGAGATCTAGGGGTGGTTCTAGACAGAAAACTATCACCTGAGGACCACATAAAGAATAGTGTGCGAGGAGCCTATGCCACGCTTTCTAACTTCAGAACTGCTTTTAAATACATGGATGGGGATATACTAAAGAAATTGTTCACGACTTTTGTTAGGCCAAAGCTAGAATATGCAGCGGTTGTGTGGTGCCCATATCTTAAGAAGCACATCAACAAACTGGAAAAGGTGCAAAGACATGCTACTAAGTGGCTCCCAGAACTGAAGGGCAAGAGCTACGAGGAGAGGTTAGAAGCATTAAATATGCCAAAACTAGAAGACAGAAGAAAAAGAGGTGATATGATCACTACATACAAAATAGTTACAGCAATTGATAAAATCGATAGGGAAGATTTCTTGAGACCTGGAACGTTAAGAGCAAGAGGTCATAGATATAAACTAGCTAAACACAGATGCCGAAGAAATATAAGAAAATTCACTTTCGCCAACAGAGTGGTAGACGGTTGGAACAAGTTAGGGGAGAAGGTGGTGGAGGCCAAGACCGCCAGTAGTTTCAAAGCGTTATATGACAAAGAGTGCTGGGAAGACGGGACACCACGAGCGTAGCTCTCATCCTGTAACTACACTTAGGTAATTACACTTAGGTAATTACACACACACACACACACACACACATATATATATATATATATATATATATATATATATATATATATATATATATATATATATATATATATATATATATATATATATATATGTCGTACCTAGTAGCCAGAACTCACTTCTCAGCCTACTATTCAAGGCCCGATTTGCCTAATAAGCCAAGTTTTCCTGAATTAATATATTTACTATAATTTTTTTCTTATGAAATGATAAAGCAACCCTTTTCTCTATGTATGAGGTCAATTTTTTTTTATTGGAGTTAAAATTAACGTAGATATATGACCGAACCTAACCAACCCTACCTAACCTAACCTAACCTATATTTATAGGTAAGGTTAGGTTAGGTAGCCAAAAAAAGCTAGGTTAGGTTAGGTTAGGTAGGTTAGGTAGACGAAAAAACATTAATTCATGAAAACTTGGCTTATTAGGCAAATCGGGCCTTGAATAGTAGGCTGAGAAGTGCGTTCTGGCTATTAGGTACGACATATATATATATATATATATATATATATATATATATATATATATATATATATATATATATATAATATATTATACTATATTATACTATTAACTTTATTGAATCTGCAAAAAAATCTAATATCCCAACTTAAATATTCCTAGGCCTAGAATAGTACATATATACACAACGTACACATTGAATCATATATGTATTATATTAGGCCTAAGATAGCGTGTGTTGGGCCTGGGAAAGGTTAGTTTTCATTATATATGTATGATGAAGGTAAGGTTACAGGGCCGTCCATATT